TTACTATTGAAAAAAAGATCGGCAAAAAATTGTCATATATGAAAATTTATATATGTGATCGACTATGTTTGTAAAATCATATAATGTAAGACATCCCAATCTACTAAGATTGTTCGGGGTCCTGTTCCACTAATCAATATGTTACACGATATCAATGGGGGCTGTGCAACGAAATTATTTTTATATGCATGCATGTATATTTGTGCGATTAACCAAATTCGATTAATTGCCTCATGTATATACATTTAATTTTCTTTGTGAGAATTTTTTTTTGGCGTAAACACGTGGAAGAAACACGTGGAAGGAATACGTTTAAAAAGTTAAAAAGTTTAAAAAGTTTAAAAAGTTAAAAAAGTTTAAAAAAGTTTAAAAAGTTTAAAAAAGTTTAAAAAGGTTTAAAAAAGTTTAAAAAGTTTAAAAAGTTTAAAAAGTTTAAAAAGTTTAAAAAAGTTTAAAAAAGTTTAAAAAAGTTTAAAAAAGTTTAAGAAGTTTAAAAAGGCAGTATATCAAAATAATAGGTATTTATTGTTTTTATTATTATATGCTATTTTTCTTTCTTACGTTATCTTAACATAATTCATATCAACTATGTATAGTGAATTAGCTGATAAAATCTGTAATTTCCTTACTACTTCTCCTTTAGGGCATATAACTTCTGTTTCCGTTCTTAATCTAGCGATAAAAGAAGAACCATGGATTAAAAGGGATATTTTAAGAAATATAGTAAGCAATAAAGTTGCTTTGGCGAGAAACCAATATATTCACAACGCAGATGCGCAAAATAAATTTCATGCGATTCTTGAGCAGGTTAGTTATAAGAATATAAAAATAATATTAATGTGAATGATGATTGGCGCATTTCCGATATTGGATTTTTCAGACTTGTAGGGGCTTTAGTCAATGGAGAAACCTGTTCAACCTGTTGTTTTGGATTCAACTCCAGAAATTATGGAGGTAACTCTGGATATCCATTAGCCTGTTAGTACTGGGAGTTCAACACCTGGGGACGCGTGGGGGTATTCTGGCTCTAGTCGCACAAGTTTTGAAAATCCATATGTAGAAACGGGATTGCTTACAATGTGCAAGCTACACAGAGATAGCAATTCTGCTATAATATTCTGACGATACGCGCGTATTCTAAATTAAAATGTATAAGTATTGTCGAATACTAACATAGTTTTTTTTGCGCCAGTTTGATATAGCCTTTGAAGGTGCTTGTAGTCTTCGTGATATTAAGTTGGCGAAATCGGAGATATTCCTTACCGGAAAAGAAATTAAGAATAATATAAAAGACTTAAAAGTGAAACTTGAAGTAAATATAATAGCAAAATATAGTTATCTATTGCGTACAAAACATATATATATATTCATTCATTTTTTTTTTAATCCCATTTTAAAGAGAAGTTCATCGCAACTCGCTGGAGATCTACGCCTCGAATTAGAAGAAATATCCATTCCTGACTTAACATGGAAGGACCCAATTGCCAGTAAAGTAATAAGCGACGATTCTGAACTAATATTAAATTTGGCAGGACAAGCGCATCAGAATTTTATGAGACCTATTCAACGCATGGAATTGTCGTCACCAGGGGAAGTTCGAGAAATGTGTAAAGATTTTATAGAAAAATTTAATAGCGAGGGTGCAAATGTTTTACCGCAAAAACTTTCACATGATGGTAATTGGAAAGAGTCAGTAGAGGATCTCGTAAAAATCACAAAGGAAATCCTCGATGTATTGTGAGTATTTTTATCGTTTGTACTTATCTTTAACCCTAATATATGTAATACAGAATTCTCAAACTAATAATTCTTAATCGATTTTGAGGAGGGACATATGGAGAAACCCTGCCTTTGGATCCCGATATGCGAAATTTCAGAGTGAAGGGACATATGTAACTGACATAATAGTTCCACTTATCCGAGCTACATTTAAAATGCTTCCTATTGGAGGAATAGCTTTTCTTAGCACGTAGGTTAATAAATCTTATATGCAATTCCAAAAACTCGATTACCATCCATTACAGATCGTTCGACATTAACGTAAAATATTTTTATTTAGTGCAGAGAAACAAAGTTTGGCTAGTGCGGATAGAATGGGTGATGGAAAACAGGGAAAACGTCCCGATGTAATGTTTATGGAGATTCACGATGAAAAATTGTATGAAATTATGTATGTAGAATGTTCGCGCTTGGTCTGCACCGAGAAAAAAAAAGAGGATGATAAAGTAAAGCTATGGAGGGAGATGAACGATGGAATGTATTTTTTGCACGGGAATTGTAGGCCTGATAAAAATAAATTTGGAATCCTTGGAATTCAGGTTGCCGGAGATATGTTGCACCTTAATATACTCATTAAAGATGGTGATGACATCCACCGTCTCTATCATTTACGCTCTGTCAAAATTCCGGTGCAGTTATCTAATAGTGAAGATGTATTTCAATTAGTGGAGACATTATTGATATTAAGGAACATCATGATCGTTAACATTTCGTTGCTATTACATGCACCAATAGCTAGATCAGAGCGCCAAAAAAAACGAAGTTCTACGGTGTCCACAGATCAAGAAGATAATTAATTATTAGAATGAGTATCTTGTATTATTACTATGTATTTCTATATCAATAAAGCCAACTCAGGCAAAAAAAAAAATAAGCAAATTAATTGCCGCACATATTGAGAATTTTCGAATCAAAATTATTTACCTCTAAATATCTGCACAATTCTACGTAATCAAAAATCGCTTTCACATCTTGCGTATTCTTATTTATGATAGTAACGTGATCTTCGTCTTTTCTTTGCATGTACTTATCCCGGTTTAAAAATTGCATATACTGCGTGGGATTATCAGTGAATCTACTTTGAGTCTTTCGTCTGTTATTTTTAGATTTGCGAGACATATTTGACGTATATATTAATATGGATAAACGACTTCAATTTTTTTGCAAAAGTGATTGTAACCCGCATTAACGACATCAAAAATTATGATCTCATAGGATCTTATTTTATTGATATAAAGACGTTGCTAAAACAACGATATATAAATAAAAAATTATATATATATTGGTGGAGTTTCACATTTGATCTAACATTTCGTTCCGTTGACCAGGATTAATAATATTGTCGTCATTTTCTCTATCTTTTTCTAATTTTTCTCTCGAAAGATTTTCCCAGTATCTACCATTATCAACGTTATAGTCATCGTCTTCTAAGGAGGGATTGGTCATCAAATTATCTGATTTAATGCATAGAATACACAGATACAATCCGGTAAAATGAGAGTTAGTCTTGCTAATTTCACTAATATATGAAGAGCATTTTTTAACGAAGACACCTACCAAAACTATCTTTCTTATTTTTGCGATTGGTTTTAGATGATTTTGGTCTAGAAGATTTTTGTTTGAACGATGTTGAGTTATTAATATTGTTAGTATTAGAATCGCTAATACTGGGAGCATTGGAATCGCTAACATTGGGAGCATTGGAATTATTGGTATTACTCATTTTGCGCTTCTAAATATAAAAATTCATAATTAGTAGAATATCACTTTCTTTTTTGTAACATAAATGCCCAATCTACTTTACCTTAGAAATAAGTTGCGAGTATTTAAAAAAAAAATATATAATAGCGATGTTATTGCTAACCCACCTCATAAATCCAATTTATTTATATTGTTTCATTCGCTAAATCTGAGAACCTGCTAGGATGATTATTAATTACGTTATCCTGACATTTCTCAGATCTTTGCTCCATAAAGCAATTCTATTAGAATCATAAGTGCCAAGTACTGAATATATGAGTCATATAGTTCTATGTGAAGTATATTTCGTCATCTATGGGAAAATTAAAACTTTTCAATCTGCCGATCGCTCTTGTAAAATGTAAAATAAGCCAAAACTTGACGATCTCGGAGATGGCGGAGATCTCAACTCCCATAACATATGAATTTTGATATAAGCCAGACTCTACGTAGTATTGTTACTGATAAAGAACCTCATTCATTTCCTTTTTGTGTCTCATTTGTATTTTTTTCTTATCGAAAAGCTTTATTAATATTAATACTATAATTCATAAATATGAAGAGAAAATAATTTTAGCGGTATCACAAAATAATCTCGTGTAACATAATTATTAATATTAGTATATAGGCCAATCAATATATAACCCGTAGTCTAAGAAAAGAAAAGGCTTTATTATATGTAAATATGTAACGATAGAAAAATAATTTTAGCGGTATCACAAAAAAATTCTCTAATTCTTCAAGTGTTGAGCGAAATCTTATAATTCGTTAAAGGTAATTAATCGAATTTGGTTAATCACGTTCATGTTTACGTCATTATTATGATCAGGTGAACAAATTAAAATTTTAATCTAACCTATAACGACTAATTTTTGTTATACAGCGTACAACATATCAATTATCTGATTTATTATGCAGATGAAATATCAAAGGGATGAAATAATATTTTTTCATTGTCTTTATACTACTTTTTTCTAAAAATCGAATTAGCGGCTGTTAAAGATGATTTACTATATTTTAGCGGAGCCTTTAGTGTAACTAAAGATATTATGATTTACTATATTTTTAGCGTGATTCTAGCTCGACTCTAGCACAAGTATGATATTTTACATATAATTATATAGAAAAAATCTAGCGTGACTCTAGCTCGAGTCTAGCATGATTCAACCACATTTAAACTCCGGTTTTGGATAATTTTCATAATTTCCATTATTTCCATAATTTTCATAATTTTTATAAAGATTTTTCTATTTCTCTATACGTTGAATATAATTACACTAGCTACAACATATCGGTAAAATTTAATCAAGCATATTCGGAATTAATCCGGAAACTACCTCCTTCACTAGAAAATGAAGCTTGGAAACGTCTTATTTCTAGAAAGCGAAATCCAATAACAGAAGAGGACGCTAGTTCTATTAATCCATTAATAGAAGCATTTTTAAGACATGAAGTCCAATAGGTACCAGAAAAAAATAAAATTTCAACGGCGAAATTGGTTACTACTTAAAGATTTATCAAACAATTATAACATGGATAAAGAGACTAATACTATTTCGAATTGTATATGCAATCATGAAGAAGAGATCAATCGCAAGGTTAAGAAAGAAGTTAAAATTTTATATCGGCAAATACTTAATCACAACCAAGAAACTTTTGAAAAATTTATGAAAAAATTAGATAAAGAGTATGAAGAGCGGATCAATACAAATAAGAATTTACGTTGTGAAATCGAAGAAAAAAAATTAGAATTAGATGAAGCGGAAAAAAATCTCGCGTCTATGAAGGAGAGATTTAATTAAATTTATTTCCTAACTTCTCAATTTCCTCCTCTAGATTAATAGGCGTATCCCATCGAAGTGAGAAAGATTCTGATCTCGGTTTATTTACATTTATAACTATAAACTCTTTTTGTCTCAGATATCCATCAATAATCTTTGAAGCCTTGCGTGGATCGGCATCAGTATAAGGACTTATAATATCTGCGAGTTTTCGGGTTGATCCTCCACCATTAAAGAGTACAATATGGGTGGCATTTTCACGAATATCGTGGGAATCCTATGGAATTTTTGCGCTACATAAATCGAAGAGATATTCTCATGACGACCTCTGTTGAAAAATGAATAATTTTTTTCTGTATAGTTGGAGGATCGGAGCAAACATCCTCAAATATCATTAGAGTACTTCTTTTGACGTTAAACTTTTTCGGATCTGGAATTTTATCAGGTGAAAGCGTAGAAAATGTAACATCTTCATAATAGGGTTTCGATTTGTCTTGTGAAAGATATTTATAAAAATCTCGAACAATTTTATATTTATGCTCGTTTAAATGGTGACCAACAAGGATTACATCATCACATTTAACATTGCGCTCCCCTATTTTAGAACCTTTTTTCTTGAACATATAGTAAATTTTATTCATTGCTAGCAGATTTAGAACCATATTTGTTTTACCCGAATTGCTAGCTCCCGCCATTACAATACGGAAAGCCCACGTTGGACTATGCGGATCCCCCTGGTATTTTTTCGAGGGTTTTACTTCATCCACATTAAATATTACAAATTTCATCTTGATCGAGCTAAGTAATTTTTATAATATTATATCGATCTTTATTACTAATCTGTTATATATACGCTAAGAATCGGAATTTTTCAAATACCTTTTTTCGATTAAAACGTTTTTAATATAGGGATATAAATCAGCCGTGAAGGGAATCTCAATAAGATCTATACCTTCTCTTTTACATAATTCGCGCTTTTTTTTATCGCGTAGTTTTTGATATTGTAAATCGCTTTTCTGTTTACGAAACATTGTATTCTCGGTATAGTGCTGGATACCTTGAAATTCCAACGCTAATTTTAATTCTTCATTATATCCATCTAAACGTAAACCATCTAGAAATTTTGGCGCACGTGGTGTAAATTTTTTACCTAATAAATCCTCAAAAATATATCGGCATCTACGTTCTTCTTTGAAATGAGGACACAATGGGCACCACTCAAATTTACGCTTCTGGGTCTTATAAGGTGCTTCCCATTGATGGAGTCCGTTTGCACATGACCAGAGAAAAACTTCCTGATCATTAATTCGACCAGTTTTTATAATACAAGTTCCATTACGTTTCTTTGCGTATTCACAAGCTTGAATTAGCGAACCTAGCACGGCTAATTTATTTTCAGAGACTTGGATAGAATGAACTAATCGGGTATGCTGCTTTTCCGATAATATACTCTGGGGCGGTAGATCAGGCTCGCAGGTTAGATGCATGAGTTCTTCTCGAACAAATCCACGCTTTGGAGCAAATTCGCCATCGATATAATATAACACGGGTTCATTCTTTGTTACAACAATTTTTCCAATTTTAAATAAAGTTGGACTCCATACAGGATCCGTCGCACGTCTCTGATTCTCCATACCTCCTTCCCATTCTCCATTGGCAAGTAAGTAACGAACTGTATCGCCCTTTTTTAACCTTTTTTCATCTCTTCCAACCGGACGTTTATATTTCATAGATGGTCTAGATTCAACCTTTTCTAACTTAATTGCTTTTATAGGCGCTAATCCCCATTTCTTCGACCCAGGAGCTTTAATAAGTCGAGTTGGATAATTATTTAGGTAATTGATAACTTCCGGCAAATACTTAACCCACTCTCTTATTAATTTAGGATTTGAGGATATAGTTTCAACGGCATATTGTACTTTATAAAGCATTTTTGCAAGCGTCTTACAGAATCTGTCTACAATTGCAAGACCCCGATGACTATATGCACCAATCACTCTGATCGTTACATTATGTTCTTGCATTATTTTACTCGTCTCACCCATAAATTCGCGCCCTCCATCACATTGGAGTAACCGAGGCCAAATAAGAGGATTATCCGGATTATTATAAATTTTCTTAAAGGCTTTGGCAACTTCTGAGCTATTTTTCGATGTAAGAGGAATAGCACATTTAAAACGTGATGCAACGTCTATAATAGTGAGTACCCATTTATATGTCTTTTTATTAACGGTATCATTTGTAAGGCGCAATAAATCACTCATATGTACGCAGTTCGGACATGAAATTTTTCCATAACTCACCCATGAGGTCTCTCTCGGTGACGGAGCATATTTTTGCCATTCATTTTGGTTTATAAGCCAATTATGCACTTTTTTATATGGAAAACGGTATCCTTCTTTCTTGAGATCTCTATATAATAATCGAGAATTGGAATGATAACCGGTAGTTTGGTAGTAAAGCAATCTACAGACAAGATCTAACTCCTCGTCTGGATCGACTCTAATAATAGGTTTTTTCATTTTTCGCTATAAGTTAGCGTAAAAATTAATGCATTTTTGCAATGTAACTATAGTTTAAGGATAAAAAATGGATTATAAATTTGATCCAGCATATTTACAGATATTAGAATCTAATCAGGAATTACGAAAAGAACTATCTACCTCATCAGATAGCGACAATATAAATAAAATAAAAATTCACAATCTTATAAAAGAATTAGAACAATGTAGTAGAACTATTTCCCATCAAGATTCTACTATTATAGTCCGTGAATCAGAGATAGAGGATCTCAAATGTCAGATTTCTGATCTCAAAAAGCGTCTCCAGAAATCGTTAACAGATATAAGTTATAAGGAAGAATTTTTGGTTATTTTAGAAAATAGAATCTCAGATCTTCAGGAAGAAATAAATAAACTTAAAAATAGAATTCAAGATTTAACGTCGCGAAAAAATAAAAAACTTTCCACGGCTCAAGTATCTAATATGAATGAGACCAGGACCATTGTTGAATCGGTTCAAAATGCATTCAATAATATTGATTCTGTATTACGAAGAATACCAGGTCTCCCACGAAATCTTGGGAGTGAATTTACTGATATTAAAAATGCCGTGATTAGACTTCAAGGTGTAGCTGATAGGGAAAAAAATCGAGCGGATCAGATTCAAGTCCAAGTAGCTAGACTACGGAGAGAAATTAAAGCATCTGAGGATGAAAATGCATTATCACTCATGGCGTATAACAATGAAAAAGAAGCACGCCGTAGTTGGTATTTCTCATATAAAGATAAACATAGACGAGTTGGAGAAATGATACGAGAGAAGTTTGCATATAAATTTTTAATCCGCCATTATGCAAAAAAGTTGAAGGAATGCCAGGATCACGGTAAAGCTCTCAATTTCAAACTCAATTCCATAGAAAAAGCAAAAAATAAACGGTTATTGCAAAAACATCTATCTGAATGGGAGTATAAAACACGAGAAGCAAAAGGTTTAACGATTAAAATTCCAATGCCTAATTCCCCTGATTTCTCATCATCTTTTTACTCAGATTCTAGCGATACTGGAAGTCTAACAGGAGGTATGCGCCAAAAATTTGATACAATCCATAGACACAGCAGAAGAACTAGTGATATTTTGGGCGATATTGAAGAGGAATTACATTCTAGCGACAATGAGAATAGTGGAAATTCATCAAGCTCCATAATTATTGAAGGTACGTCTAATACTGATATACCGCCCCTATTTAATGACTCGAATTCTTCTAGTTCAGATGATTCAGAAATTCGAAGCTCTTCAGATGATGATATTCATGCACGTTGTAGGCAAATACATATTCAGAATATCAGATTACGACGCAAAGCTGAACAAGATTTACTAGAATGCCGCAATGAAAGAGGCTTATTGGAATTTAATCGGGATCGCATTGTGAATGAACTCGAAATAGCTGAGGATGATATCGACGATCAGAACCGAATAATAAATATTTTAAATCAAGAAAATTTATTGCTTCGGAATAATATACATACAAATAATAATCGAACAGGTATGGCAGGATACGCACCTTCAATATTTAATGGATACCCCAATGAAGATCCAGAGGAATTTATTGATTCTTTTCGTTCATATCTTATAGCCGCCGGAATTAATATAGCTGTTGGAGATGCCGATAGAATTCGAGCACATGGTCTTTTCGAAACATGCTTAAAAGGTTATGCTAAGGATTGGTATGAAAGAACTATTCGAAGAAAAAACTGGGAATTGAGGAATTTACTTGATAATACGGCATAAGCTAATTTAGGTGCCGTTCAAGGACGAACTGCAATCCAATTGGGAGTACAAGCATTAAATCGCGCAAATAGGCAAGCTGGTAATATTATAATTCCATCTCATATAATATTTGATGAAGATTGGTCTTATATTGATGGTCGACCAACAGATCGTTTACCTAATGCGCCAAATTCTAATACAGGTAATACTGTAGTTGTAGCTGGAATTAGACTTGGTCAGGTATTATATTGGTTTAAAACTAATTATCCCACAGTTACTGCAGAAAAACAACGAGTACTTTTTGGTGCGACTATTTAAGGGAGTGAACCAGTTGGTCGATTCTATTCTAATTTACGTAGGTTAGCTAGGCTTGCCAATATTGATGAACAGCAGATTCGTTTACAATTTCTTCGTGGACTTTCACCCACAAATCAAATAGAAGTTCGTCGTTTAGGACTTGAAAAATCTGTAGATGAATTACTTCCAAAACTTGAAGAAATCGAAAGATATACAGCAGAACAGTTATCTGGAGCTTATTTACGTCCAATCTCAGATCCAACGCCAACAAAAAAAAATCGTAATAAAGATAATGTTTCAGATAATGCCTGTATGACTGAAACTGATATCAGGAACTTAGTAAAATCTATGATACCCTCTTCACAACAAGATGGATCTTCTCAAATTCACGAAAGAAATTATTACGTCCTAGTCAAATGGAACCAGGAAAAATATATCGGGATCCAGATTTGCGCTTGAATGACCAAGAATGGTTGACAGGATATGATGTATTGGAATGTCTTAACGTTTCTACTAAACCAAATAATATATCATTTCTACAGGCTCTTAAGGAGGTTATTAAAGAAGAATTGTTTGATAAAATTTCACCTTATTTATCAAATTTAATCAAAAACGAAGGGAATGATTCAAAAAACGCCGATGAAGAGCTTTCCAATCGCATGAGTAAGTTATCTATAAACAGGGCTATATCCAAAGGAGTTCACAGGGGGTAAAAACAGGTATTCGCGCTTCCAATAAATCATCTCATAGATGTTCCAATTGTAATAGAACCGGGCATAATTCCCGTAATTGTCCTCGTAAGAAGAGAAAATCTAAGAGTAAATCCAAGAAAAAAGCTGATGTTAATTTGACTAATATAGAATCTAGTTCCGATACTTCTGAGAGTGAATCTGATTCTGGAACCAATAATTCTTCTGATAGCGAATCTGATTTCTCATCTGAGATTGAGGGCATGAACGTCAACATCACCAGGCAAAAAAAAAAGTAAATCGAAATAAGAATTCTAATAAATCGTCGTCCGGAAAGAAGACAAAAACTCGTAAAACAAAACGGAGCGAAAAATTAACTTCTTCTTTTGATAAAGGACGAAATAACGAAGCTACCATATCTAAACCAACTCGTATTGATAAATCACTTCAAAAAATTGTACTAGATATGTTTGACGGTATCCTACCTGTAGATTTGATGGTCAAACTTAAAGCGAAAATTGAAAATTCATCCAATATAGTTACGCCTATTCAGGAGGAGAAAAATCTCAAGTCTCAACTAGATTTCACAAATTATCGAGAAACGATTCTAGAAATACCTAGTGAGGATGGAGAAGAGGAAACATTAGATGATCCTATGGAAATAGACTTCGTTATAAAGAAAGAACCTACTACAACTATCGCAACTATACCATGTAAAATTAAACGTCTAAAAATTCCAGCAATGACATTAGATTCGGCCGCCCAACCCGCGATTGTAACAAACGACATTGTTAAACGTGTGGGTGTGAAGATTGATAAATCAGAGATATATGATCTCAATGGTATTGCTACAGTTCCAACTGAATCCATTGGAGTCATCCGTAATTTACCAATAACATTCCCTCCAGGTTTTACTATATATGAAGATTTTGTAGTTGTGAAATATAAAAAGCCAACATTAATATTTTCGAATCCACTTCTCAAGAAATACAAATGTGCTATTGACTGGGCTAAAGATGAGTTAAAGATCCCTTTCAATGGTAAGGATTATATTATCCCGGTCACTATGCACAAAGTCAAGAATAAACTCGAAGTGAATTGCGCTAATGTAGTACAGAATACCGACATCTCAATCCCGGATCAAATCCCACAGGATGATGAGACATTAGTGGAACTAGCAAGGCTAAAAAAAAACGCGTGATTAACCCTAATCTCATTTCAGATACTGAAATATTAGAGTTCCATTCTAAGGTTTGGGACACACGGCAAAACCTCAAAGATGAATTTCTTAGAGTTCTAGATTATGCTGAATATCTTGTAAAGGAATTGATTCGAATTCAGGATCCAGCTTGAAGCTCTTTAGCATATTTTCGCAAATGTGACATTCTGGCTTGCACTTCATTTTCTGGCACTGATGATGTAGACTGATTATTTAAGATAGAATGATGTACGGTTTTCGATTCCGATAGATTTCCACCTTTAGATAATTCCACACTAGAATTGTCCTTTTTTTTTCTGCTAGTTTTTTTTGTCTGCTTATCTGAGGTAACAATAGAGTTTACTTGCATAACGTTTTCATCCATTGCAATGTTTGGTAAATGAGGTGAATCAGGAAATCGATCTACTGTATCTGCTAAGCCGTGATTCCCATTCTGTTGAAAACGCTCGCTATTGTTCCATATATCCTCAACACGATTTTCATTAATATGGAAATTCCTTACTAGCACATATTTAGGAACCATATTTTTGGATTTCCTAATCTCTTCGATTTGCTCAGGTGTTAAAATAGTAGCGCCTCGGCGATAATGAGTTTTTAGATATGGAATGGACATTGTTCGAATTTTTTTTTTTTTCGAATTGAGTCGAAGATTATTACTTAGATAAAAGATAATTGAAATTTAATATTTTACATTGATAAATAACGTTAAATATCGAAATTTAATATTTTACATGGATAAATAACGTTAAAAATCAAAGCTGCCATCTGTTATTGTTAAATAACGTTAAAAATCAAAGTTTTCCATTTGCTATCGTTAAATAACGTCAAAAATCAAAATCAATTCATTTTTTTTGTTAAATATATTCTCTTTAATTATATGGTACCAATACATACCTTAAATAGTGGATCTACTGTTGCCGAAAATTTTCAAGGTCGTGGATATAAACTAGATAGCACTAGAGAACGTGAGCTTGAATCTGAACGTAATGAGTTACTCATTAAAACCGAATTTTTTGCTAATAAATGTTCTGATTTTAGAAATGCCAAAGTGCTTGCAGAAACACGATCAGATGAGCTTGCAAAAGAGTTGAAATCAAAAAATGAAAAAATTTTACGTCTCCGGAAAAAGTTAAATCGAACCAGCGATATCAAAATACAAAATGACACGGATATAAAACAATTCAAAGAAGAAATCAAACAACTCAAAAAAGAAATCAAACGGTTACAGAGTAAAAACACTAATCTTGTATCCCAGGATTCTCTTAAAGAACTTTCTTTTACTAGATATCAAACCAAGTATTACAAAAAAAATGAAAGAGGCGAATTATCTCCAATCTAGAATAAAGTTATTGGAAGAGGAATTATTTTCAGCTCAGAATGATTCGTCTCTGATAAAATCCGAGTTTTTGTCCCTCAAATCTAAATTAGCTGAATTGGAGCAAACAAAAGATGAATTATCTTTAAAAGTCGGTGAGGTGGAACGTTTAAAATTGGAAGCCATATCAATTGTTGGAGGTAATGAGCCACAAGTTGATGAATTCAAAATACCTGATGCACTGCCCTCCAAAAAGTATTTGGACGATGTTTTTTGATAATTACGCAAAATACCACATAACAAAAGTACATAAAATTTATGTCATTATATGGCTTAGTTCTGACGACTCTGCATATAAAATCTCATTTTTCTATCGTTCTTTTATGATTTTTAATTAAAAAAAAACGAACACCGACCAAAATTTTATTTAATGATGATCATTTCAAACTTTTTAATTTTTTAAAAAAAATACTAATATTCCGTTGGCCACCCGTTATTAGAAATACATGCTTCAATCCTTCTTGGCATACTTTCAATAAGGTTATTTAATACATTCTGAGGGATTTGATACCATTCTCCTTTCATTGCAACCTCCAATTCTGTTGCATTTTTTGGATAATTTTCTCGTTTTTTCAGTCTCCGTTCCAATTCACTCCATAAATGCTCAATTGGATTAAGATCGGGTGATTGAGATGGCCAATCAGACAATACATTTATTTTCTTTTCTTTTATCCAATTTTGTACATTTCTTGCTGTGTGTACTGGAGCATTGTCATCTTGAAATTTGTAACCTCTACTACGAAATTACGAAATTGTGTTGTGATCAATGGAACCAGATTTTTATCCAAAATTTCAATATAATCTCTATGGTTCATCTTTCCATCTACCTTAACCAAAGGTCCCAACCCTTTACCAGAAAAACATCCCCACACCATTACACTACCACCACCATGTTTAACAGTTGGCCCAACATTCTTAATTTTGTAACGTTCACCATCTTTTCGCCAAACTCGAGTTGGACCATCACTTCTAAAAATTTTGAAACGTGACTCATCACTCCAAATAATTGCTTTCCATTGTCTTACTGTCCAATTTCTTCTTTGCATACACTACTTCAACCTGTTCTCTCTTTGTTGACTTTTTAACAAGGGCTTGTTTGCAGCAATTTTGGAAAAAATCCCAAGTTCATGCAAATTTGTGCGAATTGTATCTTTTGATACCTTAACACCACTATTAACTTTTGCAAACCTTTTTTGAATTTCCTCTAAAGAACTACAGTTTTCTTTTAAAATTTTTTGATCTTCAACTTTCAACAACTTTGGGCGGCCACTTCTTGGTGCACTTTTTAAATTCTCTACATTCTCATAATGTTTTATAGTATCATGAACTGTAGACTTTGGAATATTAAATGTCTTTGTAATTTTTGCAAGAGAACTACTACTTATTCTTAGGCCTAAAATTTTTCCTCGTTCAACTTCAGTTAATTCTGAATTTTTCTTTTTTGCCATTTTTAAAAATCAAAAAATTTTCGTGATTTTTTTTGATCTAATCAATTTTATTGGTACTCAGTTTATTTGAATATCAAAACTTTCACACGTGACAAGAACATGAAGTTTTAGTCATTTATTTATGAGAACCTAAAATACAAACTGTTAAATTTTATTAAATTTTATGATATAAAGTTTCGAGAAACATAAAATTATTGAAAAATCACAAAAATAAGCCTCGCGATTTATTTGGTGTTCATTTTTTTTAATTAAAAATCATAAAAGAATGATCGAAAAATGAGATTTTATATGTAGAATCGTCAGAACTAAGCCATATAATGACATAAATTTTATGTACTTTCGTTATGTGGAATTTTGCGTAATCATCGAAAAACATCGCCCGAATACTTTTTGGAGGGCATGTATAATAATTCATATTAAGCTCATTTTTTCTATAACGAAATATAATGATCTATCAATCCTATATGTATTTTTTCACCATTACTATGGTAATAGAGAGATATATGTTGTAGAGAAAAATTAATAATAATAATAATAATAATAATAATTATAAAAGAATTTTGTTATAGCGAGACATTATTTAATATTATTATATAGATAGGGAGAGTGAAGTTTTTTTCTCTTTTTCTCAGGATAATATATTTTTTAGAGTTATTTATATGATATAAGGAATAAAAATAATTATAATCTTACTTTTTTGCGTTTATAGTGACAATAATAATAATAATAATAAAATTATTAAATTGTCACATTTCTGAAGTGTGACAAAATTGAATATGAATGTGAGTCAAATCCGCATATGACACGAAATTTACTTGGTCTCTCAAGTGTATATATAACAAATTCGGAATTTTCAAAATGCTAAGGCTCGGCCAATTTTCAGTTTAGGAAAAAACCAGCCGATAAGTTTTGAAGCTTGAGTCATGAAGAATAAAACTTATCGGTTAAATTTTTTAAAATGATATAATTTTTTTTGTTATAGTATTTTGAAGTTGAACAATTGTTACTATTACTATAAGCAATTAATGATTATAGATGATCTGCACCGTATGCATATAATTCAATTAGAGAGCTTTCTAGGAACCAGCAAAAGCAGAAAACAGCTATTTTAACTTCCTCAAAATATGTAGACAAAGAAATACATGGATGGTAGTGGTATAATTATAGTAATACAACATAATGTTATTTAATATACTTTCTTCTTATTTATTATTCTAATTATTTAATGCATTTATGGATTCGTCTCCAATTGAAAAGATCCACCTGTATGTTAAGTAAATTCGATGGCTTATTACATTACACACTGTATTAAGGTTAATTTTTCATATTTAATATTAACTATTAATTATTTGATCTCACTCTTTATTATATGCTCATCTTGTTCCTGTATTTTTAGTGATTCAAACCCCCCTGTAATCGGATGATAACTTAGAGTTGGTGAATAAATATGTGGCGAAAATTGTATTTTTTATATTTAATTATTTTTAAATCATTTTTACGCGATATCATTATTTACTGCATACTGATACTGATCTTATCATTATAGATGATTTGATTTGAACAAAAATCAAACAAAAAACATATTGAAGTCGGTGAATAAATATGTATTTTTTATATTTAACTGTTTATGAAATCATTTTTTCATGACATTATTATTAATTGCATACATTATATTTATATCTTATAATATTTAATATTTATTAAATCACATTGTTTTTTTTTATTACATACTATCTTGTTATATTTTTAGATGATCCAATACATCAAGCCTCAATTAAAGAGTTGGCAGATAAATATGAGGAGAAGACTACAATCTTATATTTGATTATTAATTGTTTCACACATTCATACTATAACATGAAGTCGAAATGGTCAAAATTATGCCATATCACATGAGAACCAGTGATCCAACTTTAATGAAACACAGCTTATTCGAATAGTCTCATAAAGACAATTAGAATAATGGTGTTTTAATGTTCATAGCATCAATAAATGATGAGATATACAGTAAACAAAAATATCTCACTAATCAGTGATCTGAATTTTATAAATTAGACACCTCATTGAGAGAATTTGAATGGTAGTTGTTTTATCTAAAACAGCCAGATATTGACCGAGTTATGGCAGTTTAAAGTTTTTCGACCATTTCGACTTTTAATTTCAACTTTTGACCGCTTTAATTTTGACTTCATGTATAATTCATACTGTTTTTTGTATTTTATTAAAAAAATAAAAATTTTTATTTTTATAATTTTCAATAACTAAAAAAATACGTTTTACCATTAAACAAAATACGTTTTATTCATTATTATTCCCGTATTAGTATTAGTATTAGTAACTTTTGATACTAATATTAATACGAAATTTGCATATTACAATACTTTCCGTACCAATAATAGTAATACTAATTATAATACTAATACGTGTTGTTTATTATCTAAAATTCCGTATTTTCCATACTAATACTAATACGGTTTATTCCGTATCTTTTCCGTGTTTTATTTTTTTATAGTAATAGGCCCTTGACAGAGTTGATTTTGCAGTTTACTTTCCTACAATTGCGTCTTGTGTGTACCCTTTAGAAAAGGAAATCTTATGACTAAGTGAATAAATAGTATAAATAGTAATAGCAACATATGGATAACAACAACATATTAATATTCTGTACGACATTATAACGTTTGTATACATTAGTTGGTAATAATAAACCGTGACGACCAGTTCAGATCCCTGGAAAAAAACATTCAAAGTAGTAATAAAAAGCTTGGTGTACAAAGAAGTTAACATGTAATTTATTAAATGCATCCTTTTACAAATTAAATTGTTGTATTCTTTTATTATTATTATTATTATAGTTATTAAATCAATGATTGGGCATGTGTCTATTCCATTTTTGCAAGAATGAAAATTAACAACGACGAAATATTAAATAATAATAAATAAATATAAAATACTTTTTCAAGAAAATATTTAAATACAATTAAAAATTCATTTCCAGGAAAATTATTTTCTTTCCTTTTTATATATAAAAAAATTTTTTTTAATTAAAAATTAAAAATACCATTCCTCTCATTTAATCAATTAAATAAGAAACCATGAAATTAATAAAATGCTTGGCATTTAATTTATTACTTATTGTTATAACTTTAACATCAGCTCAATCACAATTTTCGAAAATTTCTGATGCATGTACCCAGGTATTAACACCACTGATAAGTGACAAAGAACTTAATGCTTGTATACCACTTGCATCGTTAGCACCCTCTGGTAAAAATGATACCTATGACACATTAGTTAAAGGAGCTGATAAACTGTGTGCTGTTGATAAATGTTCTGACAATTTAATCACAACCATTCAGAACAACATTGAAAAAGGATGTACAACTGACTTGACAAACCAAGTTCCAGAAGTATTGGCAATTGATTTTCTCTTCACCTATTATTCACCAATTAGAGATTCAGCATGTCTCAAAAATTCAACTAATGGATATTGTTTTATTGAAACTATTGATAAGTTAAAAAATTATGAGAAAAATATTACTGATGTCAATTCATTTGATTCAGCATTGGATAGTTTTAACCAGCTACCAACAGATGTTGTTTGTACAACTTGCAATAAAGCAATTGCAAACACTTTTTTCAATTATCAAGATGCTAATCCTGATAGGACTAAACGATTTGCCACTTCAGTATCTAGTGTTAAATCCACTTTGGGAAATAAATGTGGTGCAGACTTTACAAGTAAGTGATCTTTTGGAGGATGACAAATGAGGAGTGAGAGTTAATTTTATAATAATCTCTAATCTAATCATTATTATTATTTTTTTAGATGGAAATGTTCCAAAGTCAAGTTCATCAAATATTATTAAATTAGATTTTGCATTATTATTATTCATCAATTCATCAGCTTTGATTTTATTATTTTCTAAAATATTTTAATTAGATTTAATTTATTTAATTGTTCCAATATATAAATATATAATAAACATTGTTAATCAAGATGAGCACTAAATAAATTCTAGTGAGAGAGAAGGATATTCTTGAGACTTAGCTCCTTGGAAAAACCATCCAATAATAGTTGTGAGTGACGTGAGATATTTATCATTCTTAAACATAACATGAATTTATGAATTTATCCATATTAAATGGATGTCACGCATTAGTTTCATGATTAATATTTACTAATACTAATACTGAAAAAAAAAGGAAACCGGAAATTCCGTCCCTGCTTAGAACTGTTGTTCATAAGAAATTTGCCTGGAAGAAAATATCCGAACCTCGTTTTTACCTAATAAAAAAAATTAAAAATATCATCATCATGTAGCTTTCTATTATTTATAATAATTTTCGAACCAAAGGAAAACAAACTTCAATTAAATTTGTTCTAAGAAAGCTTTGTGCTTTTATCATTGGTAGAAAATTTGTTATTAAAAAAAATAATCAGATTGATTGAATCAAAAAAAAAAATGCCAAAAAAATTCGGAATAGCTGAACATGGAAAACTTTTGGGTCTTAAATTAGGTGGCAGCATTCTTAATAAAATTGTAAAGATGCTTAAACTTCCAAAAATCACAGTTTATGATACCATTAGACATTATAAAAATGCCGAAAACTTAAAGTGGTCATCCCAATGCGTTAAATGTTAGTAGTGAACAAAAAATTTTAAAAAAAATCGCACTAAAAACAATTGCAATTCTGCGGAAGAGATTCAAAGAAAATTTATTGGATTGAAGTGTCAGTTAAAACAATTCGTAAAATTTGGTTTTTAGATGATTAATAGAAGTTCGTTTTTCTTTAGTTGAAAAATTAATATATTTAGCAGAAACGTGAAAATTTTACATGCATACACATTCATGAGAACATAATAATAAGTTACATGAAAATTTGCGGGATTAATAAAAGACGTAAATATTATCTTATCTCCAATAATTAATATTAGACAAGATTTAGTACTTTCTTCTATGACATTCACTCTCTCTGTAACGAACACTAAGTAAAATCTATATAACGAACTTCCCTTTTTGTCCCTGATTCTTTTTTTTTTTTTAATTAATTTCTCACTCCATAACGGACATCTTAGTAAACACACTTTATAATGAAAAAAGGCACATATATGGGCGGAAGGTTCATTGTAGAGAGAATGAACTGTATATTTTCACAAAATACCAAGTAAAATTACAGGAAACTCCCACGTTTTTGTTTAAAGTAAAAAGAAAATTATGATATAACTTCCACAAAGAATAGGTATATAGAACAAATAGTATATATAGAGTAGATGGAGATATATTGTTATCTTGTTATTTGATTTCTACTACCATCCTCAACTCATCTCATACTTTACTGATATTAGAGTTTTCAGTAGGACATCCATGCAACATCCTACAATAAAAAGTGAAATAATGTATTAATATTTCAATTTAACAATGGAAGCATGTAATTTTACAAAAAAAATAGCATCTAACACTTAAATATACACATTACAAATGCTTGTTATTATTGCTAATACATATTGATGTACAGATCATACAGATCATAGGTGATGGGTTTTATGACAAGTGATGAGTTTTGTTGTTCTTTTTAGTTTAATTGGATATTTAAGAATAATAAAAATGCATATAACTAGTAATATGCTTGACAAATATCATCCATCTTCTAATGGTCTGGACCTTATCTTTAAGCAAGATATTTAAAAAAGTTATTTATCAAAGTTTAATTAAATAAATATCAAACCTGTTGTTTCAAATTTTTTTTCTTGTTTTTACACTAAAACATTATAAAATTTTGTTTTATTCATCATCATCCACCTTTATATCTAATAATAATTCGGATCTTCAGGTGTTTTTAAAACTCTCAGTTAAGGTTTCTGGTCCAAGCTGTTTTCTCAAAGCCCAAACTAGTTTGGGAAATTTGGGCTTCTCAATATTTTTTTTAAACATGAACATTAAAAAACTATACCAATCAACTTATTTTAACTAAAGTAATTTCGCCCAATTTCGGCTAATAACAAAAAATAGTTTGAGCTTATAAAAAAGTAATTTTTGCCCAAAGTGTTTTGGCAATTTCGGCTACTAATTGAGAGAGTTTCAGCCGGAAACCTTACTTCTCAATTGAAGAGCAGCAACTTTATCTATAAGTAAAATCATTATTTCAAACTATCTTATATATGAAATTAATAAATATGTGTATTTATATATTTATTATAGTTTGTATTATAAATTGTTTATATGTAAATATATTATAGGGAATATGTACAAATGCATGGTTTTATCAATTTTACAAAATATTCATCAATAAAATATCTAGATAAAAAAAACTAAAGATATATTAGCTATTATTAAAATGTTATTATTATAATTATTAATCTAAATAATATAAATCTATACATAATATTTTGTAAAATGTATCATCAAACTAATTAATGTTAATATTATTCTAATGGTTATTGTTGTTATTATTCTTCTCATACCTATTCTTGTTGGTTGAATGCAATTTTATTGTTTTCAAAGAATTCTCTTAGGTTTGAACCACTACCACCTGTTATAAGTTCAAGATCTCTTGTTACTTGTAATTTACGAGAAATTCCCAAATAACCTTGCAAACCCCATAATTCCAACAAATAAGCAGCTAGTTTGTCATCAGCAGTCAAGTCCATTAATACTTGCCTTAATTGATTGACAGGCATTAATTTTATCTTAATATCACAACCAAGACCTAATGATGCTTTTGATCCAATTTCATCAATAGTGAGTAAGTTTGGGCCAGTTATTTTGTATTCCTTCCCTCCATGCCTTTGTGTAGGACAGTAAAGTATGTGACAGCATGATCTAGCAACATCGTTGATATCACAACATTCAAAAGTCATTTGTGGATTGTCTATCAGTGGGATTGTTGATTGTTCAATAATATATTTGGCAAAATATAATAAATGTTGATGCAATACACCAGGGTATCTTAATATTGTGATTTGTGACGGTTGAAAAGTTTCCTTCAGCAAAGATTCAATAGATTCAAATTGACTTCTGTAAGATCTATTCTTATTATTAATTATTTCATTATCATTATCATTCTCTTCTTCAATCGGTGTAAGTGGTGGTGAGTATGGTGTATCCAATTTGGTGAATGGTGTTGGAAATACAATATGTTCAACGTTTGCTTCTTTTGCAGCATTTATATAGCTAAAATAATAATAATTGTTTAATTATTATGCTATTATTTTGAAAATAAAAGAATTCTTATCCTCCAAAAATTTATATTTACCCTTTTGCAAATGTAAATGCATCATTACAAGTGATTTCACCACCAAGTGGATCAACCAACAATAATAATTTGGACACATTATTTAAAGCATGTATTACGACTTCTGGTTTATTTACTGGATCAACCTCTACTGCAATGGTCCCTTTCTTCTCTAATATAGTAGAAGATTGAATTGTTTGATGACTTATCCCAGCATATACTGATATTTTTTGTAAATGTAGGTGAAGATTTTGCATTTCTACAAGACTATCTACTATAGAAGAACCTAATAAATAATTTATAATTTATTGTTAATAAAACTATTATTGCGAGAGTGCTAAAATTAATTTTATATAAAACTAACCAATTCGACTATCTGCTCCTGTAACGTAAATTGCATTCTTGAACTGCATTTTTTTTTTATAATTATTGTTATTTTATTATTTAGAATGATTTATCTATTTATATATATGTAAAAATTTTTTTGATTGGTTGTATCAATCACAACAAAAATATTATCTAGATGAATTATTTATTTTTTTTAATACACGTTTTTTTTTACGCCATTTAAATTGCTTTATATAAAATTTTGATTAGATAACATTGTAAAAAATCAATCATTTGATCTTATCTTATAAATTATCAATTTGGTGTTCACCGAAATCGATCAATGAATGATGCAAATTAATTAAATTAATTGAATTATTTTTTTTATTGGTTAATTGGTTACTACAAATCTCAATAAGAACAGATACGAATAAAATTTAAAAAATATCTTTGACTTTGCAGCATTTATTTATATTATCTATATAGTGGAAAGATGAATGAAAATTATTATTCTTTATGTTAAACCGAATAATCCTACCCTTCCAAAGTTCCATTTCACTTTTTACATTAACCATTACTCAAAAAATAAATAAATGATAAGGTAAAGAAAGATGCACAAGCATCAACTTTTTGTTGCTGTTTCATTTACAATAACTCTCTATTTACAACAGACTTTCTATAAATGAAGTCACACTATAATCAACTTAATAAACTCTCTTTAGCAAACAGAGGCACAGAAATGGAAGGATTGTTATAGAAAGAATGAACTGTATAATCTTTGAACATTAAAAATGTTTAAGGTTAGAAGCCTCCATTAGACCTAATATTCGTTAATTACCGGTGGATACACCCACTATATTTGGGGCATGATTCCTCATTTTTTTATTAAGCAACAGGGTTCACTAGTAATGCAATCCAATTTCATGACTTTGTGTCACTAAATGCTTTCATAAAATGCAAGTTGAGGTTCCAGATTATGATAAAATAATCAAAGAACTTGCAGAAATATATAAGAATAAAATGAATGTACCTGCTGACAATTTCATTAAGCCTTGAGGAAGCATTAAAGGTCTTGAAACTGTACGTTCATTTTTATTACAGCAAGAAAAATAATGCTATATACAAACAAATAAAATTGGTTAATAAAATTGAAAGATATATCAATATAAAAAAAGTAAATTCATATTGTGTATCATTTGTAACCAATGAAATTGCTTCTCTCCGTAAATACACGCTGTCCCTTGGTCCCAAGGGGGGTGCATTTATGGGGAGGTCTGACTGTATATATTTTAAAATATATTTATTTTGATAACACAGTGTAATTTTTAGTTCTCTTACATTTGCTAATATCTGTAGACTGACAACAGTTTCAAAAAGATGACGGGAGTATATCATATCAATGAAAAGATTATGGCAAGATTTGGATTTTCGTGTGAATAGCAATGTCAAAATAACTGACAAACTTGTTAAATTGTATGTGCAACATGTACAACATGAAAAAATAACAATTAGAAGGATATTTTTTGGTGAATCACCAAAATTAACTGATTGTTCATTAAAAGTACTCAGGAAAACAATGTGCCATCAACTGACAAGTTTAGAATTGATGTCAAATACATTAATAAGTGATACAGAAATTTGTGTGTTTATACATACTACTGGTCTTAACCTAAAGCATCTAAATTTGTCAGATACAAGTGTTGGCAATAGAACAGTTCGAAAAATATTGACAACATGTTCAAAATTAGAAACATTGGATCTATCAAGTTGTAATGGTGTCACCACCGAGGCATTTGATCCTAGTGATTTACAATGTAAAGCTACTGGAATTGCTTCAATTAATTTATCTGGATGTGAAATGGTAGAATATTCAGTAATTAATTATTTGGTTGGATTATTCCCAAGATCATCCAACTTGATCTGAAATGTAATTCAGTAATCACACCAGAAGTATTTTCAAAATTAACTAATTATCCTGAATTGAAAAGAGCTGCTTTATTTGAACACACAAATAATTCTGCAGCAAGTTTTGAAAAAGAATTTAATAGTTTTACAACAACTTGTGTAAACTTGCATGAGTTTACCTTAGTCAATTGTTCAGAAATGCCTGATTATTGTATTGAATGTTTAGTTAAGTCATGCAAAAACTTGTAAATATTGGATCTTAGTGATTGCAATCAATTGACAAACCAAGCATTGAACATAATATCAATTTTGGTGAGAATCTAAAAATTTTGAGATTTGATAGGGATTGATGATGGTGTAACATTCTTGTGTAAATCAAGATTATCCAAAAAATTAGAAGAAATTGATTTTCATGGAAATTCAAATATAACAGATAAATTTGAGAATTATGGGAAATTTTTTTGTCAATTTGAGATTGGTAAATCTCAAATCATGTTGCAATATAACAGGAAGTGGTGTAGGTTTTTTTGTACAAAAATGCCAAAAATCTTTAAAAGAACTTGTATTAAATGGATGTAATAATGTTCCACCAGATGCTATTGATCTTTCAAGAAAATTATTAAGTTTAAATGGGGGAAAAGTTTTTTACGAATTTCGTGAATGATAGATAAACAAGGAGATATATTAGTATGGTATTAATATTAAGTAATTTACAAATGGTTATGAAATAAGAATTTGGTTTATTAATTATTTAATGACCATACTTTAGATTAATTTCTCAGCTATTATTAAAAATTTTTTAATAAATAACATGTGCTAATAATTATGTAAATTATATAAATCATGGGAAAAGAATCTTCTTGTTGATAAAAATTTAAATGGTCTTATTGAAAAAACAATAATTCTCTGCTATTAAATATAAATATGATGATGAATGATATTTCTATTATCTACATTGATTTTAAATAAATAAATAAATATGTAAATATAAATATATAATACAATATAAATTTTAAACTATACTATTAAATGTTTAAATAAAATAAAATAATTCATGATGTAGAACATAAAATTTAATAGTAAATAATTAATAAAAGATGTGCTTTACGACTTTATTTTGTAGTGGTGGTGACATTAAATCAAAGGAATGGAACCTCCATATGTATATGTTCCGTTAATTCTTGTCTCATAGTAGAATTGTCACCCTTTAACAATGATCTTCTGCATGTAGGACATGAACCGTGATGCTCTAGCCATGATCTAAGGCATGAACTTTTAAATTAAAATATTATTAAAACTTTTTTATTAAGACAAAAAGGAACAAATTTGAACTAAAATTTATCAATACATACAAGTGAAACATATGTCCGCAAGGTAATTTTTTGGCTGATACCATTGAATCTCTACATATTGCACAATCATCATTATATTCTTTTAATTCAATTTCAGTTGCACTTGGATATCTAAATGAGTGTTATTAATAATAAGTGTATAAATATTGGATAAAATTAACCTAATTGATTGCCAATTAACATAAAAAATCAGATTACCTAGTTTGCATATTAGAAATAGCTTGTCTATAATTATAATATGAAACAACTTTCTTCCTTAAATTATTGAAAACACTTCTCATATTTAAAAATAACACTGCATCTATCAAAGTAAATGAAATACCATGCAAAAGCTATGGAGTTAATGAAAAAAAAAAACCAAAAATTAATTAAAAGTAAATTAAGCAATGTAAAAATTTTGATGTAAAATTTTGTAAAAACAATACCATTATATGTAAATAATGGCCAAGAGTGGCAGCAAGTATCAGCGTATCTGTAACAAATTCTATGTAATATAAAACCAACCCTTTAGACTCCCATACACCTTGTTGAGAAAGATCTCTAAGATGAATTATATATTTCATCAATGTTTGAACAGTGTCTAAGAAAAGAGTAAAGCACTATAATATCATGAGGACACACACATTTATATGTATAAATATTTATTTTTCTCTTGATCAATGGATTGATTAAAATTCAAATTTTACACTAACCTCAAAAGTTAATAATAGCAGCATTGAACGAACACATATAATAAACCAAATTATATCAACTATTAGGATTAGGATCAATAATGATAGAATACGTAAATGTGCTTGAATTGGAGTATTTGGAGAGAATGTAAGCTAAATAATATTGAGAAAAATTTAATCGATAATTTTAAATCCAAAATTTTTTCATAATCAATCAATTGACAAAATATTCACATATTCAAATCTGTCTCTACAAAGCATACTGAAAATTCTCAGGAAACCAAGAATTGTAAACCATGTTGTCCATATAAGCCACTCTTCCCATTTTGGTTCAAGTATTGCCCCCACGAAGACAACTTTAAATAAAAGAAAGTTAAGAAGTCTATCATACATATGCTAAATATATATATATATTATTATATGTTATAGATTAATAAATAAATAGTTCACAATAAATTAATTTATACCTCAACTTTTTTAGTAACAAACCTGACTTTCGATAGCTCTTAATTCTCCAAAAAAGAATTTTAATATCATCCTTCCAAGGAAAAATAAGGAATAATAAGCTATATTGATGAAAATCTAAAAAGTATTAAAAAAATAAACTTTTAACATCGTAAAGAATTTAATTAATTAAATCTTTGATAAACACATAAACACATAAAAGTGTGTAAATATATACCAAAACATATATTTTTTCTTTTTGTAAAAAACTTAATACAGAGTTAAGGAAAAGACTCATTGATCCAACAAAATTTTCTCAATGACAAATGTCTTTCATATTGATATAAATATATCAACAAATTTTTGTTGGCCATTTTTATTTAAATGGCCCCATATTATGTTTCACAGGCGGCAGGCAAAAAATCGATTACTATTATTATTTAAAAAATTTGCAACTTTCCTTAACTGGTGGATCACGAATTAACTAGTTATTAAATCTATGTGTATTGAAAGTAAGAGAATTTTGAAATTTCTATGTATGCTAGCTACACTTATTATTTTAACCTTTAATCCATGGAGGCCAAATGGTAAGCTCTTCTTTTTGTCTATGTAGACAAGAAAAAAAATTATATTTCTCATGTGCACATAAAAAAAAGGAAAGTGCTCGATTAAACATTTCCCCCCGCCGATCACTAATTAAAATTCACCAAATATATGGAAAATTATGTTGCGCATGTCATGCGCACTAGCGAATAACCAATCAAATCAAAACATCCATCATATAATACCTTTGCACTTTTATCATTATTATTATTTTATTAAAAAAATGACGGAAAATAATAAAAAAAGAAAAATTTTTGAATCAGCAAGTTCTAACAATGACAAACCAAAAAACAAAAGAAAAGTTTTATCATGGGGCGAGAAAAAACAACTGTGTGAATTCTATCAAGAAAATCCTTCAATTACCTATAGAGAACTTGGTAAAAGGTTTGGTAATATAGCCGAGAACACTGTATGTGACATTTTGAAAAAAAAGGAGAAATGGTTGAAAGTGGACATGAGCTCGAACGATGCAATGAAACAAAAAGATAAAACTGCTAAATATCCTGAGCTTGAAAACGCCCTCATCCTATGGATGTCGCATGCTGCATCTGTCAACAAAAGTATCAAAGGTGATGTTATACTTGATAAAGCGAAAAGTTTTGCTCAATTGTTGGGGATTAACGATTTCAAAGGGTCAAATGGTTGGGTATCAAATTTCAAGAAAAGACACAATCTAAAAAAATATAATAACAATAATTTAAAACGTAATAATATTAATATTAGCATTAATGATAATAATAATAATGATGACAACGGTACTAATAGTGATAGTGTAGGTAATGGTGTTAGTGTTGGTAATATAGTTAGAAACAGCGAAGTTATTCGCAGATCACCTGAAGAATTAATTAACCTCGAGAGAAAAAAATTACAAGATATTATTAAAAATTATCCACTTGAAGATGTCTTTAACTGTAACGAATTTGGTAAGATAAATTTTCTAAATTATTTTTTAATTTAAAATTAATATTTTTTTAATTTATTATTGAATTATTTCCTTTAGTGCTACATTGGGATTTAGATCCAATCAAATCCTTATTAAATAATGATAACTACAATGACAATTGTCATAATAATACAAGTATTAATGTTAATACTAATAATACTAATCACAATGATAATATTACAATTCAAACTGCCACAACCACCGTCGTTGGAGTTCCTGTTGGAGGTAGCATAGGAGAGAATGTGGAAGGTAGCGATATTGATAGTAGTACGGAAATCACAGAGATTGCTTCCAGTACAGGGATAAAAAAATCAAAAAATCGAGTAACAATTCTATTAACATCAAACGCAACAGGAACAATTAAACTACCAGCTCTTGTCATAAACAAATCCAAATCATCGTCCACAGACTTCAATGATATTGATAAATCAAATCTTCCTGTTAATTATTACAGTAATCACAATGATTGGATGCACATTTCAATCTGGAACGATTTTTTAATTAAATTAAATGAGGAAATGCAATTAAAAAATAAGCATATTCTTTTATTAGTTGACAATACTCCTGTACATATCATAGAAGATTCTACTGCTCTAACAAATGTAAAGGTTCATTATATTTCTACAAATACAATTAATCAATTACAACCTGCTAATATTGGTATTATTAATTCGTTTAAAGTATGTATTTATCATCATCATCATCATCATCATCATCATCATTATTATTATTGAATTTTTTATTTTTATTAAAAAAATTTTATTAAAAACTTTTTAAGGCAAATTACAGAAGATTTCTTCTAAAAAATAGAATAGACGCATATGAACTACATTCTAACCTCGGTATACCCGTAAATTCACCAAAAATTATAGAAGCCATTAAATTATGTTCCGAAGCATGGAATTTATTAAGTGTGGATATGATAAAAAATTGTTGGATCAAAACCAGAATTTTCCCCCAGACAGAATCATACTCCACTGAAAATCAAATTATTAATGCCGCCATATTCATTGATTGGTTTATTCAGCAAGAAGAAAATCATCTTCAATTAATAATTCATCAATTTAGTAAATTGGGTTTTACCGATTTGATGACTGCTCAGGAATATATCATGTTTGATAATGATATTTTAAATGATAATGATTTCATTGAAATCATGTATGATCAAAAGCTTCACGATCATCATCATCATCACGAATTGCTACACAAACAGCAAAAGCAGTTACAATCAATAACTCCACCTATATCTGTAACACCAATTGCTTCTTCTTCTTCTTCTTCTTCTTCACCATCAATAACAACAACCTTATCATCATCTTCTAAATTACCAATAAGAGAACAACAACAACAACCACCGTCACCAACAGCTATTACTGATGCATTGAATTCGATCAACACATTGATTTCATTCTTGCACAATCCACCAAATATTAATAATACTAGTAACAACAACAACAATATGATTCTTGATCCAAATTATCTTATCACACTAAATTCACTTCAACAACAAATCATTAAAAATTATTCACAATCAAAGAAACAAAGAAGATAGTATAAAATGGTAAATAATAAGAAATAATGATAACCTTTTGTATTTTATACTTTTTTTCATTCGTTCGTTTGTTTGCTTGTTCATATCAACAGTTCATAAATAAATATATATGAAATTTATTTTTTTTAATAATTTTTAAAAAAATTAACATTAAAAAACCATTTTGCCATTATTATTGCCACCTTTTTTAGAACATGTAATTATGTGGTTGGGTGATTTTAAACAAAGTGAGAATGAAACAAAAAATAATGTTTGATTTTTGGATATTATTAGTAATTATTTTTTATATTTATTAACTTTAAGATATGGATGGATGATGGATGTTCGTTCAGTTTATTATTATTATATAGGTTTGATCTAATTAAAAAAGAATTGGAAATATTTACAATGAAATGATTTTTAATATATACACATAAATAGTTTATATTTATAAAGATTAAAATCTTTAAAGTGTTTAGAAAAAATTAATATTGAATTTTATATTTCATGATTGAAAATAAAATTATTTGAATTTAACATTTTTCATAAAATAGCATATATGCTTCTTCTAAGAGAACATGAGATAAACTGACTTCTTTAACACTTTCGTCAGAGAGATACCACCAGTTAACACTATCTTCACGTTTGCGATAAGTAACAAAATGGCCATTTCTATGGTCTCCTTGATGAACTATTACTGTCTTGAGTTGATATTTATTATCGTCATTAATTCCAGCCAAAACAGGTGACGCAATTGGTGAAGGAGATATTGGCGATGAAGGGGATAATGGTTCACTTGGCATTGTAGCAGAATATCCAATGGTTGTATATTTTGACATATCAACTATTTCAGAAAATTCAACCCGGCATGAATTTTTCAAAGAAATTCCGTTTGTAAGAAATATGGATCGTGATAGATGAATCACCAGTACTTGAGGAAGATTTGCAAAAATTGTTTGTTTAATTGCTGGTAATTTTTTATGAACGAGATTGACGACTTTTAGTTCATTGTCAATTTCTCTGTCTATATCTGTCTCAAGTGTCTTTGTGATCAAATCACGATCCTCAAGAAGTTTTTTGTCAATAACTTTAACTTTTGACAATTGATTTTCAATAGTTGATAATGTTTCTTGTAAACTACATCTTGGGCAATTATATTCGTTAATAAAATCTATTCCAACAAAGGTTCCAAGAAGTTTATCTAAAGTTGTTGAGTTTTCTCTTGGAAGTGGAATAGAAATATTATCAAATGTTGAATGTCTGATTGGACCAAAATATTCACACTTCATACAAGAAATTCGACAAGCTGTTAATCCAAAAAGAGGGTTTTTTTCTCCGATTAATAATGGAATTTTTTCATTATTTGCCAGTAAACGTATCATTTCAAGATCTAAAAGCGATTTAGGACGTCGACTCATTTCATCTTCATAACTCAAAGATTGCAACAAAAGTTGGAATAGTTCATGTGCATCTTGTTGCTGTCTATTAACAATATGTCGAATTGTTTGATTGTTTTCCATGGCAAATACGACATCTGATGCAACAAAGGAGCGACGAAATTTTAAAGGTTGATTAAGCCTTTCAAGTGTTGTGTATAAAGCATTTGTAACAGGTCTTTCAGGATTTAAAGTTTTATTTCTTAAATATGTTAGAAATTTCTTCAAGGATGCAAGACCTTGAAGTACAGAGTTTAAAAAACATAAATTGTTTCCTTGATTGACCAAACCATGTACATAAGACTTTTCTGATTCTTTATGTTTGGATTTTTTCTTTTTTTTTATTCGATTACGTTTTTGTTTGTTTGAAGAAGTTAAAGTAATGTATAATGTGGTGAATACAGCTACTGCTGCTAAAGCAGTTACAATGTACTGTTTGACCATACTTAATTTTTTGATTAGTAAAAAAATTTTTTTGATCGATGGGCGTGACGTATAAAGCACCAAAGTGACCGAGATCATCTTCCAACACATGGGAGACTCCCCAATGATAATTTATGACCACATGACTTTTGATGATTGGTCATACACAAGTCATTTGTAAGGCTTCGAACGAATTCGATTCGATCCGAATTTTAAAATGATTCTATTCGCCCTTACTTGATTCGATTCAATTCGAATCAATTGGATTCCTAAATTTTTTTGTTTGATAATTTAAATTTACATTACACAGTGAATCTCAGTTCAACTTAATGGATTGAGCCCAAGAATAGTTTAATAATAATAATAAAATTCCTCTCAATATAATGGAATTCCTTATATTAATATTAATATAAATTATAATAATAATGATTTTTGGAAAAAATTTTCTAATTGCCCAAACTATCTGCTAGACCAAGATTGTGTATATTTTTAATTGATAGATATTATTTAGCCAAAACTAATTTTTTTTAAAGAGTACAAAAATCAAAAAAGCACAAACTGAAAATTTTAACTTACCATGGCAGTGTAGAAACCAGACACATAGACATCGCATGATTTCAAAATCACCTAAACTATTCTTGAGAAAAATATCATTGAGAAGAACAGAGCAGCCACAGAATCCTTTGGTTCATTAATTGCTAAAAATAAATGGATATAATGGTTAAAGTGATATTGTTTTTATATAAAATTAATATTTAAAAAAACTTATTGAAATATTTTTATAGTTTGGAAAATTTTATGCCAGCATTCACAGGTGATGAAATGGACACAAGGATTGATCCTGATCTTTCAGAAGGTGATTCTCTTCACATTTGGGTTGCTCATGATGAAACTGTTTTTGAATCAAATGATAGAAAGAAAGAAGGTTGGCACCCTGTCAATGAACAACCTTTAATGAAGAAGAGTCATGGTTGATCATTACATGTGAGTGATTTTGTGACTGAGACTGTTGGATGGTTAAGACTCTTGGAAGAACAAAACTAGAGGTAGGTGATAACATGCCACATGAAGCTCATATCATAATTAGCCCAGGAAAAAATAATGATGGATGGTGGAATTTGGATCAACTTATAAAACAGGTAAATTTTTAAGTGTCTAATTTAGT